TGTTACATTTATGTGAGGTCTACTCACTTTTTAAAAAGAGGAATAGCACTTCATTGAATGGTGGATTAGCAACAAGAAATTTGACTAGGTAAGAGTATTTTAAGAATGAACTTGAAAGCAGAGAGGATGAGCACTCCTTGTTGCCCAAGATTTGGCACAGCATATTACCACAGATGCTGAAAATACTACGTAGGTATTTTAAAATTAATAGGAGTTACGCACCTATATACCTTGAGAATCTGGGCCAATAAGCACTAGGAGCTTCAGAGAAAGCAAGGACAGCATAAAGGGACCAATTCTGATTTCTCATACGATGGGGTAAACCATGAATAAACTATCTGAAAGTGTTTAGAGTTATCCTTGTATAAACAAGCAGTTAGATCAGAATCAGGCCCTGGAGGAGTGATTGTGGAGAAAGGTGCTGCTATAACATAGGTAAAGAGAAGGAGTGTTTGAAAAAATAAAAAACAAAAAACAAAAACAAAACAAAAAAGCAAACAACCCAGAAAGAAAGCATGGAACAGTGTTATTAAAAGGAGACTGATTTACGTGTCACGTAAATGGAGAGGACAGGTAGCTTAAATTTGATAGAGAAAGAGTGCTAGAGGCCCTGGACAGATTGAAAAGGTGAGAGGAATATCCACAAGTCTATCAAATACCACATTAAAAATACATTCAAATAGTAATGTGGGTCCAATTCTGCATTCATTTACATGGGTAAAAGTCCTAATGGTTTTCTGCCTAAGCAAGGTTAGAATTTTGGCCAAAGGGTCTAATTTAAACCAACAAAAGGAGGAAAATGCAAAGTTAAGCATTGTAAATTATTTTTCTTCTGCTATTGAATTGTGCCTACAACATTTTCTGAACAGGTATGGAAGAAAATTCTACTATCATTCTCAGCAAACTAAAAGTTCCGGGGCTCTTCTATAGTTCCATGTGTTAAAAAGCTAGAGGTCTATTGGTCTTCTGTGTTAGAGTGCCTCTCTCAAAAGAGGTTTAGGTTTGACGTTAAATTGGAAAATAGCAACAGCTATGTGAATCATCTAAAAAAAGGGGAAATGTTGATAACTAACTGTAGCTGGAGTACTTATGCCCCCAAGTGTCATTACTAGATGTTTTAGTAGATGAAATGTTACACATCTGCAAACCAGTTTAGACCTACAATTCCTTCTGTGGTGAACTGTCACCGCTGCATGAAAGTTGGCAAAGAGGCCAATGGAAAGGAAAGCTGGCATTGGTAATGTTCTGGGCTTCTCACAGAAAAGAGGCTAGGTATAATGACAATATGAAAATAAATATCCCAATGGTCGGAATATGTGAGAGAGGTAGTCTGAAGTCAGGCATCTGATGAAGTAAGCCTGCTGCTTATAAAAGTTTATGCTATGCAACTCTGTTTTAGTCTTTAAGGTGCAAATCTATCCTGCCTTCTGCCTAAGAGATTTAAATCAGTTTTCTTTTTTAGGGACAGAATGATAGTGGCTATCACTGTTATCTTGAACTTGAGCTTGTGGGTGAAGAAACTGAGCTTCTTTAAATCCAAGATGGGCTGGCATTACCTTTTCTGTGCCGGAACCAAGCAATAACTGCTACAAATCCCTTCCCTCTGGGCATGTCTATATGAGATGCAGACTGCACAGTAGCCCGATACTACTGTGCAGTAGCATTGCAAGGCAAAAACCATGATATGATGCTACTGTGCAGTAGCGTCACTTAAAAGGCATCACTTAAAAAGGAAGACCCTCTGCAACTAAGAAGCCTGTAACAGGGAACCCTTGCCCTGTCACCCGAAGACAGGTCTGCTCCTTTAAGGCCTGAACTTTCTGGGCACAGAGTACTGGTGAGGAAGGGGTTAAAGGCCGAACCTGGCCAGCTAGTCAGCTGACCGGAAGGGGCAGGCCAGAACCTAGGCAGAGTGGCAGTGGAGCCCAGCAGCCAAGGGCGAAAGAGTGCATCTCACAGATCCAGGGAGAGTCTTGGTGGGCAGTCCAAAGCCAGGAAGACGGGAACTATAGAAGCCCCGGAGAGATGACAGCCGCACTGCAGCAAGGACTGGAGCCGATGGTGGGGAGCTGAAGCACAAACCCTGCAACTGTAAGCTGACATACTGCTTTCCTTACTCACATTTTTTGGGTGGTAGATATTGCCCACGGATGGGACTGCTTATTTGTTTTCTTTTGATTATTGAATAATACCGGTGGTTTGGGTGAGGCTGAGGGGAAGCAGGAGGCCTCATTTTTGGGGCCCACTATGGAGTGGAGACCCTGGTGCCAGTGAGGGCAAAGTTTTTTGGGGTACATAGACTCCAGTGCTAGTGGGGGCACAGGATTTTGGAGCACACTGACCCCAGCACCTGAAGACACGATTTTAAAAAGGACAGGGAGTTCTGGTGCACCTGGGGTGCAATTTTATTTTATTGGTTTTTTTGTTGGACTGGGAGACTGCGAGTTCGGGGCCGTCACCTGGCCTTGCGGCCCCCTGGTTGTGGGGCCAGTGGCCAGGCCTCTGGGCCGGGGGGCCGGGCTCCAGATTGGAGCAGGAAAGGGGGCCACAAGCCTCAAGGCACCGGAAAAGGCTAGAGCCTTGGAGTCAAACCCTGTTTGGTGGGTTTAGATGGGGAGGCCTAGCTAGAGAAAGACAGGGGTCAGGCCCAAGTAGGTGAAAGGCCCCAACATACAAAAAAAAAATACAACAGGCAAGATGTGGCAAGCGAGAAGAGGGCGGGACATAAGAACTTCAAGGAAGACTCCAAGGGCGCCCCACATAAAGGTGTGGATTACCAGAGAAGATGGTGCTGGGGAGGACGACCTGTTACAAGGCCACATCTACATGAGATGCTACTGAGCAGTAACTTGGGTTTATACAAATACTAAATAAATGTACAGTAACCACTGCACAATAGTAGCTCATGTAGACATGGCCTTTGAGTTGCAGAGGATTTTCCTTTATGGTCCAGGGGACTAGCAAGAAGGAGAGTTTCTATTTCATCAACATCTTGTGAGAGACTGCTGAAAAGGAACAAAAAGTGGGGATGGGAAGTGAGCCATGAGCTGAGTTATACTTGTATAAATCAGCTGTGATGGTACCTAAATTTCTCCTAACGGTGGTGATCTGGGTCTGTGTCAGTTGGCAGTGAAAGGAAAGGAAGGGGGTGTTGAAGCCTCAGACTGACTGTATCTGTATGCTCCTTTGAAAAGGAAATTTTTCTACTGTATTCTGTGCCTTCTTTGGAAGCCCAGAGTATGTCTACATGGCCAACAAGTCTTGATAAGTGACCACTTGAAAAGTGCAGGCTAACAGGAGTATGACTGCCTTTCACCATAAGTTCACTCTTTTTTTTTTAAGCTCCTTTTCCTGAGGAACACTGTGGCACTGTTTTGCTTTTTCATTACCTGCAGCAGTTCAGCTGCTTCCTACTATCAGCTCCACTGCCTCTTATGATGGCATCTCTGTTCCTGACATAGTACAAGGCAAGCAATACATTAGGGGAGCATCAGGGCAGTAGAGGGGAGATGTCAGGATGAGGCTTACCTCCTCAATTATCTGTTGACTTGGGACCTTATGACAGCATAAATTGCAGTTATTTCTCTGCCATTTGCACCACCACTAAGTACCTGAGAATCAGGGAGGCATGATCAGCTCCTTGTTTGCCCTGCCCTAAGTACTGCAATCAATTGCTGCTCAAAACCTGAAGAGAATCAAACCCAATGGAATGGTGGAAGTGAAAGCAAGATTCTTTCCCAAGCCTCTAAATTAGTTGCGACTCTCAGCTCAGCTACGCTACATTTAAATCTTCCACTGAAAAGGCTATGCTAAAAAGAGACAGAGGAGGAGGAAAAGGAGAAAACAGAGATAAAAAGGAAAAAAAAATCAGGGGGTGAGGATATAAATAAGTACAAAATAAGAAATGAATTTCCTAAACGTATGACATTTCCATCACATTCTTTGATGCATACTTAGAAAAGTTTATCGCGGTATACACATCTTTCTAATTAGATGAAATAAGCTAGATGATTAGAGCTGTGGAAAAAACATCAAAAGGTTCACACAACTTTTTATATAATTAGAAAGAAATGTTCATATCCCATAAAAGAAGGATTTAATTGTGTAATTTAACATACAATTTAAATATCAAGATCAAACTAGCAGGGCAAGTGACTTAATGGGATAAATGATATTAACATCTAGTGTCAAAGCTTAATTTAAACAACAGAATGTCTTCATTATGCAAAAGAGTCAAACAAATGAGACTTTCAAAGAGCTTTTTTTTTTTTTTAAACAAGCCCTTTTCTTATTGTTTCTTTGACAACAATGAAATCAGCTGTGCAGCAGCAACATGCTGAGAGACTAGGGAAGCACTACTGACTTTGTCCATCTGACCTCACTGTGACATTATGGTGCAAGATCTTATAAAACAAGAGCCTCCTGCAGAGGTCTTTTAAGAGCTGGTTAATTTTACTTTTGTAGCTAATTAAATGGGAGGGCCAGAGTGCACAAAATGTAAAACCCCTTGGGTTGACGCTGTAGCTTTGTTGTTTTAAAAGTACCTGTAGAAGCGTTCATAATTTGTCACTTTTCACACAAACCTGAGAGGCAAACCAAAACCATTCAGGATCCCCAGGATATGGTCTGCTCTAGTATCCTGGCCTCTGCAGCTGCACTTAAAGGAATGGATTAGAAACATATAAGCTTATTAGAGTGAAAGATGACATCCACCCATATCAGGACACATGAAGAGGGGGAAAGTTCAAAAACATATAAATTAATTCCTGGAAAACATAAAACAGCCTTTAGGCCATGGCAAGGAAAATGTCAGCGACTCAAAAGATAATAGATTGCTATTGACCAGTTTCATGATGGCAAGGCGCAAGCCAAGTAGAATGCCTTCTCCAGCATGTGTCTAAGACTGCAAATGACACTGATCCTTTTTAATGTGCACAAAAGCTGACAACTAACTCATCCTGAGAACAGCAGTCACAAAGCTATCTACAAGAATGACTCACCATAAACAGGTCACGAGCACCTATGTCAACAGCTAGCAGAAATGCCTTTTCAAATCTCTGATACCTGCAAGAAAGGGTGAAATGTATCATTTGCTGAGGAGGACAACATCAAATTTAGGAGATCCACCAACCTGTTAATGTGCAAATGAAGTGATAGCTGGTAAAAATGTGAGGCATATTGCTGCTATTTTACTTTTTCACTAAAAGTGATGCAACAGGGTGACAGGTGAACATTTCTGTGATTTCAAAACTATGAAATATAAAAATGCCAAGGGTTATTATTGTTTTCCAAAAACATCAGCAAATGCCCTGTCAATTACTGAGCAACATCAGAGCTAGTCGACTTAAATAGGAATGGAAGGTGTTTAGCACTGTGCTGGATCCCTTCCAGTTCAGTATGCACAGACCTCCTATTGTGCAGTTCTCTGCAGGGTCTCACGGAGAGGAGACCAGTGTTTCTCTTCTGCTTGGGAGAAGAGGGGAGATCCTTAAGGAAAGTGCAGCTGGATCCACACTATCTTTCTCATTATTCCCCTTTTACAGATGGGATAACATAAGCAGAGGGTGACCTGCCTGCCTACGAAGAGGAATCTAGTCAGTGCTGGGTTTGGAATTCTACATTTAATTCTGAGTTCTCGGCCCACTAGGGCACAGGTTCTGGGACTATTTCATAGTGCAAGTAACATCATAATAAAGAGAGCCTTCTAAACAAGAACATGTCTCATCTATGATTACATATTTCTAGCCTGGGTCCAAGCGTTGCTCTACCTAGGAAGGCCTTAATGCTACAGTATCCTGGTGGAATGACTCGGCGGAAGGTAATATAAAGCCAACAAGCAAGGCCTTTCCTCAAAAGAGGATGTTTGTGACAAGAAACCAAAAAAAATTAACACTAGCAGAAAGGGAAATACACTCTCGTGTGGGGTTTCTGTGACCCCAGGTGGTGTGGAATCCGACACCATCTGGGGTTGGGTGGAAGGTGGAATCCTACCTTGCTAAGGCCAATCTCCCTGCTGTGCCCTTTAAGCACTAATTTACAGTCCTTCCCCTGGGTGCCTGCATAAAAGGAGGAGGAGGAAGGTGGAGGGGGGGGGGCAGGGGGAAGATGTCAGGCTGAAGTTAACCATTTGATCACCACCTACCAGGCAGTGCCTCGTCCGTGTCTCACTTTGTATAAAGGATATTCCATGAAAATACATGTAGTACAGTTGGAGGGTTGTTGTAGTCATGATGGTCCAGGGAATATCCAAGAGGCAAGGCTTTTTGGGATGATAACTTATATTGGATTAGCTGTATAGCTGGGCAAGCGGTTGGACAAATTTTTGGGGCATAAAGTGCTATTCTTCAGACTTGTTGGTCCAACAAAAGATATCCCCAAAAATCCTTGCCTCATGAGAATACACTGAAGCTTAATGCTCCTTCTTAAGCAATGCTTCATCCAAGAGAAATACACACACACATGTTATAGTAGCATGAGTATTACTGCCCTCATATCTTTTATGAATTTTGCTTACAAACTAAATGACACTTTTTATTCCTTATCAGATTTTTCACATATAGAAAAAATACCATGTCCTCCTTTCTTAGAAGGAATTTCAATAGGTCAGTGAAACATGCTGTGCAATGCTCCAACAAGATGTCTACACCATGGCTTTGTTTTTATCTGGAAACAACTAAAGAAACAATTTGAAAAAAAAAAATCTGCTCCAGCCAAAGCAATACTAGCAACCAAAAATGTAAAGTAACTTTTTCCTTTGATTGACCTGCAGAACAGAACCATGGCCTTAAAGCTGTCAGTTTCTTTTTGTCTCCCAATGATTTCAATTTTTTCCTTTAATCAACCTACATACTTCAGTTTCATTATGGCCCTATTCATAAAACCGTAAAGCCAGCTCATTATTTCCAGAGCTGTACCAGGGGGAAAAAAAGTCTACCAAAGAAATGCTCTTCACAAACCAAGAGAGCTGAAATAACAATCACAGAGACTTCATAAATTACTACAAACAGCATTCTTTAAAATGAGGTACTGTTTTCAAATGCAAGTGACAAGCTTGCATTACTTATGCAAACAATATTAAATCAATGAAGAATATGTGCATTTTTCTGGGCATTCCTAAATTAGTTTCATTTGAAAACATTTAGTTTAAGTTTCTTTGACACAGAATAATGCATTTTCATCTTAAAGGAACATTTAGAGAGTGCCCAGTATGATGCATTATATGTAATGGTGCCTTCAAACTAATAATGTGAATTTTACCATAGGGTTTTGTCACAGGGAGACCTCTTATTTTGAGCACTCTTCTTTATAGGTATCATCCCTCAAATAACAAATAATGCACCTTCTGTTCTTATATTGCAATTACATGACACAATATTATTTTCTTTCAAGTAGTACCAAAAATGTATCAGTCCTAAGTGAATATTCCCAAGTCCTGTAATTTACTCTTTGCTTCAAAATAACTCTAGTAATCAAGACCTAGGTGTCTCTTGAAAAAGAGAGATAAGGAAATCTGCCTGTAAACCATAAAGCTGAGCCACTTGTTTGGTCAAAATTATTGCCAACAGAAATATGACCTTCTAGATTAGAACTCTCAAACTGTGATTACCTATATATGACAAATAGTAAAGGATTATACTGGAAGCTGCTAATGGCATAGAATAACAAGTGTAAAACAGTATATAATAAAAATAATACAACTCCTATGCATTTATATAAGCACTTTCTCACTATAACTCCCCAAGTACGATAAAAAGACGGATATTATCACACCAATTTTGCAGATAGGAAACTGTGGCAGGGGAAAATTAAGTGACTTGCAAAAGGTTTACAGAGGACAACTTAGGCCGATGGAACCCAGATCTCCTGGTATTCTGACTGGTGTGGTAGATCAAGCTGCCTGCCATACGTTAGCAATGTGGCAAACTAACAAAAGCAATAAAAGTTGTGTTTCTTATTCTTGCTTATATTTTATATCAGTGCAGGTCTCTTGTCATTAATGGGGTTATTTTTGGTCTGCACCAATTTAAATGAGGAGAAACAAGTACTCTGTTTAATCTGCGCCTTTAAATTTATACATTATGGTGTTCAAAAAGCATGGGGCTTTAAATACAGTGAACTAAATTCATTTATTTGGATGTGAGCAGAGAAAGAAGTTCATCACTGAGTTTAATTGGGAGCTCTGCAGCTCCAGTGGTGGGCAGAATTTGGTCAGGTATGTCCTATGAAACCCAGCGCAGTGATTAAAAGATAGTAACTCATCCTTCCCCCAGAATTTCATGGCTCTGAAAATGGACAAAATGAAATTTTTTATTTGCAAAATACATACAATTCATTCATTCATCTTGTAGGAGATCCAGTGTGGTCATTTAAAAGAACCAAAAGGGGAGGAAAAAACATAGAGAGAGTGAGACACAGATAGAGAGGGTAATACGCTAAGAAAAGGTGGAAACATTTCTTTAGGGACTAGTTACAACCAACAAGCCTTCTTAGACATGCCCATTGACCATGTAAGCATATTCCTGGTGCTGGGCTGATAAAGGAGGGCTGCTGCATTATTTTTTTTTCTTGTCTTCAATAAGGGTACACAACATTTAGAAAATAATCTGTAGCAGGAGGGCTATGGCACAAATAATATTTATAAAACCAATCCTTTTAATTAAAGAAATCTTACAGCCTTCCTCATCTAGAAGTCCAATCAAGGATGATATGCGTTATAAAACTGAATATTTAAAAATGTACTGAGTAAGAACAATAGAAAAATGAATATTGAAAATAATTTACATGCAATCCAATCCCACTGAAATTAAGTTTTAATTGTTCAATATTCTGTGATGCATATGCAAATGTTTAAGTATTCAGAATGTCAATCAAGTGTTTACTTACATCAAGCAATTGTATTTAAGCATACAAAACAGATGATGAAAATATGTTCAATCAGCTATAACTCTCAACATTTACTGCAGGGTTTACATGATCACTTTTAATTCAGTTATTTCATTTAATATTTCAATTTAATAGCTCATTCTTTCATTTACTTTCTAGGCATTTTGCCCATTTCTTAAGCACAATAATATTAATTATTATTCATAAAAGAAGCAGTTTCCCATAAGTTCTCATATCAGCAATTTTTGGAACAGAAACTGTTTGCATGATTTTTCAAATTAACACTGCCTTTATCTACAGCATTTCTTCTTTTAAAATTAGACAAAAGTAAAAATGAAGAATTATGTGTTTTAAAACACCATTACTGCTATTAAAATAAGATATTGGGTATAGAATAGTTAGAGAACAGGGGCAAGAATTTAAATTATAGGGGGGACGCCTTGTTGGACCTAGTGCT